ACTTACCTACTAATATCGTACAATACCGACACTTACCTACTAATATCGTACAATACCGACACTTACCTACTAATATCGTACAATACCGACACTTACCTACTAATATCGTACAATACCGACACTTACCTACTAATATCGTACAATACCCTACACTTACCTACTAATATCGTACAATACCGACACTTACCTACTAATATCGTACACCGACACTTACCTACTAATATCGTACAATACCGACACTTACCTACTAATATCGTACAATACCGACACTTACCTACTAATATCGTACAATACCGACACTTACCTACTAATATCGTACAATACTTACCTACTAATATCGTACAATACCGACACTTACCTACTAATATCGTACAATACCGACACTTACCTACTAATATCGTACAATACCGACACTTACCTACTAATATCGTACCTACTAATATCCAATACCGACACTTACCTACTAATATCGTACAATACCGACACTTACCTACTAATATCGTACAATACCGACACTTACCTACTAATATCGTACAATACCGACACTTACCTACTAATATCGTACAATACCCTACACTTACCTACTAATATCGTACAATACCGACACTTACCTACTAATATCGTACAATACCGACACTTACCTACTAATATCGTACAATACCGACACTTACCTACTAATATCGTACAATACCGACACTTACCTACTAATATCGTACAATACCCTACACTTACCTACTAATATCGTACAATACCGACACTTACCTACTAATATCGTACAATACCGACACTTACCTACTAATATCGTACAATACCGACACTTACCTACTAATATCGTACAATACCGACACTTACCTACTAATATCGTACAATACCGACACTTACCTACTAATATCGTACAATACCGACACTTACCTACTAATATCGTACAATACCCTACACTTACCTACTAATATCGTACAATACCCTACACTTACCTACTAATATCGTACAATACCGACACTTACCTACTAATATCGTACAATACCGACACTTACCTACTAATATCGTACAATACCGACACTTACCTACTAATATCGTACAATACCGACACTTACCTACTAATATCGTACAATACCGACACTTACCTACTAATATAGTACAATAACCTACACTTACCTACTAATATCGTACAATACCGACACTTACCTACTAATATCGTACAATACCGACACTTACCTACTAATATCGTACAATACCGACACTTACCTACTAATATCGTACAATACCCTACACTTACCTACTAATATCGTACAATACCGACACTTACCTACTAATATCGTACAATACCGACACTTACCTACTAATATCGTACAATACCCTACACTTACCTACTAATATCGTACAATACCGACACTTACCTACTAATATCGTACAATACCGACACTTACCTACTAATATCGTACAATACCGACACTTACCTACTAATATCGTACAATACCGACACTTACCTACTAATATCGTACAATACCGACACTTACCTACTAATATCGTACAATACCGACACTTACCTACTAATATCGTACAATACCGACACTTACCTACTAATATCGTACAATACCGACACTTACCTACTAATATCGTACAATACCGACACTTACCTACTAATATCGTACAATACCGACACTTACCTACTAATATCGTACAATACCGACACTTACCTACTAATATCGTACAATACCGACACTTACCTACTAATATCGTACAATACCCACTTACACTTACCTACTAATATCGTACAATACCGACACTTACCTACTAATATCGTACAATACCGACACTTACCTACTAATATCGTACAATACCCTACACTTACCTACTAATATCGAACAATACCGACACTTACCTACTAATATCGTACAATATCGTACAAATATCGTACAATACCGACACTTACCTACTAATATCGTACAATACCGACACTTACCTACTAATATCGTACAATACCGACACTTACCTACTAATATCGTACAATACCGACACTTACCTACTAATATCGTACAATACCGACACTTACCTACTAATATCGTACAATACCGACACTTACCTACTAATATCGTACAATACCGACACTTACCTACTAATATCGTACAATACCCTACACTTACCTACTAATATCGTACAATACCGACACTTACCTACTAATATCGTACAATACCGACACTTACCTACTAATATCGTACAATACCGACACTTACCTACTACACTAATATCCAATACCGACACTTACCTACTAATATCGTACAATACCGACACTTACCTACTAATATCGTACAATACCGACACTTACCTACTAATATCGTACAATACCGACACTTACCTACTAATATCGTACAATACCGACACTTACCTACTAATATCGTACAATACCGACACTTACCTACTAATATCGTACAATACCGACACTTACCTACTAATATCGTACAATACCAATACCGACACTTACCTACTAATATCGTACAATACCGACACTTACCTACTAATATCGTACAATACCGACACTTACCTACTAATATCGTACAATACCGACACTTACCTACTAATATCGTACAATACCCTACACTTACCTACTAATATCGTACAATACCGACACTTACCTACTAATATCGTACAATACCGACACTTACCTACTAATATCGTACAATACCGACACTTACCTACTAATATCGTACAATACCGACACTTACCTACTAATATCGTACAATACCGACACTTACCTACTAATATCGTACAATACCGACACTTACCTACTAATATCGTACAATACCGACACTTACCTACTAATATCGTACAATACCGACACTTACCTACTAATATCGTACAATACCGACACTTACCTACTAATATCGTACAATACCGACACTTACCTACTAATATCGTACAATACCGACACTTACCTACTAATACCAATACCGACACTTACCTACTAATATCGTACAATACCGACACTTACCTACTAATATCGTACAATACCGACACTTACCTACTAATATCGTACAATACCGACACTTACCTACTAATATCGTACAATACCGACACTTACCTACTAATATCCAACTAATATATCGTACAATACCGACACTTACCTACTAATATCGTACAATACCCTACACTTACCTACACTTACCTTACCTACTAATATCGTACAATACCGACACTTACCTACTAATATCGTACAATACCGACACTTACCTACTAATATCGTACAATACCCTACACTTACCTACTAATATCGTACAATACCGACACTTACCTACTAATATCGTACAATACCGACACTTACCTACTAATATCGTACAATACCCGACACTTACCTACTAATATCGTACAATACCGACACTTACCTACTAATATCGTACAATACCGACACTTACCTACTAATATCGTACAATACCGACACTTACCTACTAATATCGTACAATACCGACACTTACCTACTAATATCGTACAATACCGACACTTACCTACTAATATCGTACAATACCGACACTTACCTACTAATATCGTACAATACCGACACTTACCTACTAATATCGTACGTACAATACCGACACTTACCTACTAATATCGTACAATACCGACACTTACCTACTAATATCGTACAATACCGACACTTACCTACTAATATCGTACAATACCGACACTTACCTACTAAAATCGTACAATACCGACACTTACCTTCTAATATCGTACAATACCGACACTTACCTACTAATATCGTACAATACCGACACTTACCTACTAATATCGTACAATACCGACACTTACCTACTAATATCGTACAATACCGACACTTACCTACTAATATCGTACAATACCGACACTTACCTACTAATATCGTACAATACCGACACTTACCTACTAATATCGTACAATACCGACACTTACCTACTAATATCGTACAATACCGACACTTACCTACTAATATCGTACAATACCGACACTTACCTACTAATATCGTACAATACCGACACTTACCTACTAATATCGTACAATACCGACACTTACCTACTAATATCGTACAATACCGACACTTACCTACTAATATCGTACAATACCGACACTTACCAACTAATATCGTACAATACCGACACTTACCTACTAATATCGTACAATACCGACACTTACCAACTAATATCGTACAATACCCTACACTTACCTACTAATATCGTACAATATCCTACACTTAAAAATTAATATCTTGCTATATCGTTCACCTACCAAGTCATATCGTCCTTTATTTTACACTATTACATATCGTAATGCTTAGTACACTTACCAAATCATATCGTGATGTACCGTATACTGAAGTTGGATCTGCGGCACAATTAGCTGGGCACGTGGCTCTATAATTTCAACACATATTTTTGTTATTAAGTCAGACTATCCAGACACTGCAAATTATCATATTGTTTATTCTAAACGTGACCTAGACCCTACATCAACAGGAAAGAAATGTTATGACATCAACAGAATCTTGCTTTATAAATACAGTTCAATGCTAAAGATTACACCAAGATCCATAAAAGTGTAGAAGGAGAATAAGACCAGGTGTTCCGGACGGGTAAGCGTCTTCTGCTTTATCGACGTCACCAGCCATATCAGAAGTAAGACGATAGTATATAGTATGTAAACGGCAATCGAATACATTGATAATTGATATACAAATAGTTTACCATTCTGGAACATAACATATCAACAAGATATTTTATGGATTTGTTCATGATAAAAATCCTACCTACCCACATATAACTTCACAAGTTGTATAGGACGCTGAACAAGACGTCGTTCCTTTATCGTCATATACTGGAAAAAACATCAAATTAATCATAGTTATATACGGAACACGGCTGGTTCAATGTATTATTCCATCCCGTACGGCTAATTCAATAAAATAAAAATGACGTTTTACCGCTGGTTGTCAACTAAGAATTTTATATCGGGTAAAATTAAAACTCTGATAAGATATCGTCGAAATACAAAAATAAAAAGGAAAGGTGACATTTGAAGATAAGTCAATAGTAGATCGTGTAAAAAATGGTGAAAAAAGGAGCCTATCACAAAGAAATGATAACAATCGCCAGCACCAGTGGCATTTTAATCGTACCAGGTGGATAACTAATGACGTCACTATACTCGAAACTTGTTCCGCTGAATTGTGACGTCATTACTGAATTCACTCCATCTTATCGGATGAGATTTTGACTCGGTATAACTAGATACATAATTGATATTGCTTCATATGATATGAATATAATAAGGCGTTTCTAAAAATGACGTTAAATCTAGAGGTATACCTAATGCGCTGTTGTTCGCCGATCCGTTCGGATCAGTTACTCCGCATGTGTAACGTCCGAATTCCTGAGGTTTGGACATGCTCAATACTAACAATGTATGGTCTTGCATGATGAAGTGGGTAGGGTCAGGAGAGACAATCTGTCCGTTGTGATACCACGTGACACTAATCGGCTGTTCCCCGGATGCTTTACAATCTAATGCGAAGTTGTTGACATTCTGTTTGAGTCCGACCATTGGCGTAGCGATTTCTGCCTTGGCCGCTTCTGATTGGTTGAGAAATCCAACAAACCAAAACAATGTCTGAATACTTGGATTTTTTCTGAATGATATTGTAAACACCCGAACAATATTCAATAAGCATTGATTAAAATACAGATTATCACTATTCACTACACTACGAGGACCTGACAGTTGTTAGTAAGGGGTCACGCCCATATGACCTTTTAACCGATCAATCAAAACGAGGCTGGTAAAATCTTGCGAGAGACTGTTTCTCCTCGGCTTTTATCATGGTTGTCGTCATTAAATATATAATATCCGAGTGTCCCGAATTTCAACCATACAAAGATGAATGCACCCAACGCAAGCCGCCTATCACTAAAATGGGTGTACATGTATTTATTGAATAATACATGCGTTGTTTGTAGATTCACATCTTTTGTCACCATAACTATCTCTATAGGAAATTTAGTGACAACGTTAATATCTTAACACTACTTCTATTGCCTGTTCCATCATTCAATTCTTTCTCCAATGTGCATGCGCAGCCGAACAGGCATATGGAAGACGAGTTTTGATTGGTTAAAAACAAAAAGTTGTATGTTAAGAATTGAAGTCTTTTGAACATGGCCCATTACCAGCCTAGATCACATCTTCATGACATAGTGTATAATGATTATTTTTAACTTAATCAGGTTGATCAATTGGTTCATGTTTAACAGGAGTGTCGGATGTTTAAAACTTTTTTTACATATATCAAGAAATAATTAGCAAGCCTTGTAAGCTTTTGACTAACATTCTTTAAATATTTATTTCCTGTTTCTGGTCCCTGTCTAAGACAGTACAATACATACATTGTCTGAGGGATATATTTCCTGTTTCTGGTCCCTGTCTAAGACAGTACAATATATACATTGTCTGAGATATTTATTTCCTGTTTCTGGTCCCTGTCTAAGACAGTACAATATATACATTGTCTGAGATATTTATTTCCTGTTTCTGGTCCCTGTCTAAGACAGTACAATATATACATTGTCTGGGATATTTATTTCCTGTTTCTGGTCCCTGTCTAAGACAGTACAATATATACATTCTCTGGGATATTTATTTCCTGTTTCTGGTCCCTGTCTAAGACAGTACAATATATACATTCCACAATATATTCTACAACTGCTCGTCACCATTACCAGTAACACTTTACCTTTGACTACAAGGTTGGTAGTTGCGGTATCAGTTCCGAATGAGTTGGTGGCCCTACATATATACGGTCCAGCGTCTTGTTTGCTTACACTAAGAATGACCAGCGTACCATCTGTATCTTCGTAAGCGTTGCTTACACTGGGCTTTTATACAGAAATTATACAATATTTAGAGACAATTAGACTTCAAACAGTTGATAAACAGCCATATTTAAACACGTGTCATTTATTCTTGTTTTGTCTATATTGTATCGAAAAAATACTGACCTACATATTGTACATCCTTTGTTTACGATGGATCAGCAAGTCTGACCTACATACATCACGTGTCTGACCTACATACATCACATTAACATGCAGTGTAGAACACATCATTTCCTGTATATGTTTACAAATGTCGCGCTTAATTCATCAACTTGTGTATTGCCCAAACAGTGAAAATGTGCTGAAATTTCATTGAAACAAATTCTGCACGTTAGAGTAATCAAAACCATAACTAAATAGTTTTATTGTTTACAAAAGTTCATGCATGCTTTGATGTTCATTTCCTTCGTAAACAGATAAATATCATCGGTTTGATCTGCAGGTGACAAACCGAGTTAAAAAGTGTGTGGTTTAATAGCGTTGTGTACAAAACAATAATAGCTTGTTTTTGCCACGAGTATTCAAATTGGTCAATAGCGATTACAGCAATTACAGGCGATTGGTCTTTTCACTGGTTCAGTAATTTGTTTATTATTTCCATTGGCATAAAACTGCAAAAACTGAAAACTTAGATACCGCTAAAGAACATATTAATGTGCATGTAGTCTGTGCCCAATCATTTTACTTATTGACAATTACATATGTATAAACCAATACATTTTCGTGGTGCTTGATTTTCGTGGATTTTCAAAAGAGTACTATAGCATGGACACTTATATTTCAAGAAATATACCGAAATACTTATGTTAGCAGTGTGTTTGATTTGTGCACACTGAAAGTTGATAATGGATTTTTATTATTTACGTAATAGTCGAAAACAGATCCTCCGCGAATAACAATAACTGTACGTTATACTGAAATTTAATAATGATTGAATACCAAAATTTTGTAACAAAAGCACATTATGTTATATTAAGCGTTTGATAACCCTTTGTATATATTTTATCACCTGAAGAATCACCATTGGCACCAGTCGATAGATATAGTGAAATCTTAGCTCTTATTTCATACTAGAAAACTCATCATTAATCAAACTAGATATTGTCTACCCAACAGGAAAGTCCTCTCTCATATACAAACCAGAATCTGATCAGATATCCAAATAGTTTGTATGATGTTATGGTGATAATATGAACCAGATATACTGACAGGTACTAGAGATATTTCTGATCGGACGCCGGACACGACATAGGACGGACGGACATTGGTAAACACAAAGTATTGTGTTACATACCGGAGTGAGCCAAGAGGTGGTGGGAGGCGGTTTGCCCTGGGCATCACACCGCATACGTATTGTCTCTCCTACAAATGCCTGCAGGACAGGGATGTTGATGATCTTCGGAGGTCCTGTTTATATAAAAAAAAAAATGCAAATTTACATATATATATATATCTAAATGTTTTACGAGGAGGTCTTTGTCAGAGTAAAACATTTATTAATAGGCTATATAACATTTTTAATTTGACCTTTACGTACCCTTGGCATCGAGGTAGGCGTGGAGATCAATTGTCTCCATACCATTTGATCCATAACAGATATATTCTCCAATATCAGAGGATGAGATGTGGCTAAGATGAAGCTGGGATCCATTCACAATAGGCGTAATGCCAGTCGTCACAGCTTGGGAAATGCCTGCTTGATTCTTGTGAAACCACGTGACAGCAGGGACAGGGTCCCCGCCAAATTTACATTCCAGAGTTACCGATTGTCCATTCAGTACAGTGAGGTTTTGAGGCCGTTCCTGTATTTGTATATGTTCTGAAACAAAAACAAGAACTTTGAAAAATATCACTTGGAGTACCGCAACAATTATATCTATACCAACACTGTTTTGTCAAATCCCACCATGAAAAGTTTTATCAAAATTTTCAAACTGTATTACCGTAAAATTTTTATTTTGACAAGTTCAAAATAGTTCATTAAATCATGAAATCCGTACTGCGTTCTCTTAATTTATTATTGCTTTAGCTTTTGAAAACATCGAAAACGACTTCTGTAGTCAGAGCTGTTTCGGTCTATTCTTTACTTACTATATACATCCAACTCGATTTGTTTGTAGGCGTTTCCTAATACGCTATTAGCCGTACAATAGTACATCCCGCTATCTCCCGGTTCAGAACTACCGATGATGATGTCATTTCCTTGTACTTGCGCATGCGTTGTGTTCTGAGTTAAGGGTGATGGCGTCCATTGCACTTTTGGGGTTGGCAGACCTTTTGGGTTACAGCGGAGGACCACAGGGGTGCCTTCTATAACCTTTATCGTTTCCTTAGGGGAAGTGAAACTCGGAACGGCTACAAAGATAACGATAGTATGTTTAATGGACACCGACATTATTATGCCTCTCTATCCATATAAATAACTATACATAAAATGAAATAAAATCAATTGTCACTTCCGGTTATAGTTTAAAGCTAGCAGGATGGTAAAATTTTAATTTTAAGCAATTCTAATAGTTGTCCAGATATATTTCAATGGCTATTGTTAGTACAAATGAAACTGATAACGTAAAAACTAGAAAGGCCACCTAGCACTTATTCCTATCGTGCTAATTCTTTACATATTATGAGTCCATGATTATGTCCTTTATTTCACGTGTGTGTACATGCGTCCTGGAATTCAGGGCATTGTGTAGAGTTAAGTCATTGACCGTGTACTCTACATAACACATCTCACATCGCCAGTAGTACAAAATGTTACATGAGCGTGAATTGACTGTCAGCACTTGGTCCAGTTTACTTGTAAGTATATTGATACGGAGATATGTGGGTATACGATATTTGTTTTCTGTTAACAATCATTTTATTCCTATACAAGACTTACATGTATAGATAATTTTCATAATTCATGAATCATGTTTAAAGTTTCTATTTTCTCCCCTCTTATAACTTACTTCTAACTGACAAAATTGGTGAAAAGTTTATCTCCTGACACATATAAATGTACCTAGTTGCTGTTTTATGTGATGTTTTGAAAAGTTGTCCTAAATATATCGATCTGGTGATTATACCTATGACAAATACAGTTATGTTATAGGCATCAAATTCATAATACTATAATGTATCATTCAGATATGATATTTTAGAGACAGAGTATCGGCCTCCATATGTTATGTATCCTATAGCCTGGTACATGTAGAGGGGAAGATAAAAGGGAGATAATCAGGTAGAGTCAAAATTTGGTGTGGGTAAAGGCTGTAATATGACAGAATGTCTTATATTGAAAACTTATTTCTTTTCAATTATTACTAGTACATTAATCAATCTGATGTAAAGATGAAAGTTAATGACTACATCGTCTTGTCAAGACATTGCATTGTTTCTTTTAGATTCAGGAAGAAAAGTGTGTTATTGGACAAACAAACAAGTGTTGTCACTACACCTATGTAACTTTGATGGTTACTTCTTATTTTGACCACCTTGACAGCAAATATGTCTCCTGGCTGTGACGATTGTGTATCCAAGTATGGAGCTCATTCTTAGCTGGTTACACTGTAACTGTGGCACGTGTATCTAAGTATGGAGCTCATTCTTAGCTGGTTACAATGTGACACGTGTATCTAAGTGTGAAGTTCATCCTCAGCTGGTTACAATGTGACTGTGACACGTGTATCTAAGTATGGAGCTCATCCTCAGCTGGTTACAATGTGCCTGTGACACGTGTATTTAAGTATGGAGCTCATCCTCAGCTGGTTACAATGTGACTGTGACACGTGTATCTAAGTGTGAAGTTCATCCTCAGCTGGTTACAATGTGACTGTGACACGTGTATCTAAGTATGGAGCTCATCCTCAGCTGGTTACAATGTGACTGTGACACGTGTATCTAAGTATGGAGCTCATCCTCAGCTGGTTACAATGTGACTGTGACACGTGTATCTAAGTATGGAGCTCATCCTCAGCTGGTTACAATGTGACTGTGACACGTGTATCTAAGTATGGAGCTCATCCTCAGCTGGTTACAATGTGCCCTGTGACACGTGTATTTAAGTATGGAGCTCATCCTCAGCTGGTTACAATGTGACTGTGACACGTGTATTTAAGTATGGAGCTCATCCTCAGCTGGTTACAATGTGCCCTGTGACACGTGTATCTAAGTATGGAGCTCATCCTCAGCTGGTTACAATGTGCCCTGTGACACGTGTATTTAAGTATGGAGCTCATCCTCAGCTGGTTACAATGTGACTGTGACACGTGTATTTAAGTATGGAGCTCATCCTCAGCTGCTTACAATGTGACTGTGACACGTGTATCTGACTGGATTGACAATCAAACGACAGTCACCAATCATATGACTCAGTTCCCTATCCTTGATAGTTTTTTGGGGTTGTTTTTTTATTAGATAGCATTGAGTACTGTTAACTGCAGTTTGGATTGAGATAAATAACTTCTACTTGAATTTGAAAATAAGATTTAAACATTTTTTTCCGCACTAAATGTTATGTTACAAGTCTGAGTCATGTACATATGTTCGTTTTGAGTTTTCTTTTGCTAGTACAGGTCAAGTGACATTCCATTGTATATCAGAAATTGGAACCTTCAATAAATCTTGTTACACTGAAATTAGGCTATATATAGGTATTTCTTTGATATACACGTATGTTAATTTTTCCAGTGAAATATCCATTTTAAAAACTTAAAAATAACTTTAATCTTTATTCTGCAAAGATGTCATTAGTCGCGGCATATTTGTTTACCTAGTATTTTATAGTCAATTCTCCATTGCAGTTTATAACTTGTGAAAAATGTTTTATCTTAATATCTAATAGCTCTTCATGGCTTATGAGTTATGTTCGTTATATACGACAAAACATAAAATCCTGGTTTGTTTTAAATGACTTCATCTATATTGCAAATAACAAACTCGTTTATTGTGTATAGCGATTTGCCTAAATGTACGACCGTGCATACATTTCAAAAGTTAGTTAGGAAAAACATTATTTCATTATTCATAAGCAGCTCTCTTGTCACGAGATGCATATCCGGATTTTCTCTCCAGCACCTTGCGGTTTTTAGTGGCCCCATGCGCAGAGCAGTGTATACAAGATTGCGGAGACAACAACAGTCGTTGCTCGGTGATACAATATTGAACAACTGAAAAAATGCTAAGATATTTTCTACACGAAAGTGCTTGTTTAACAATATTTCACCATACAATTCTGAAGTATTACATATTTCACAGTACAATACTGGAGTCTTACATATAATCTTACCTAAACTCTCACAACACTGGTTCTTGTCATTCACCGCAAGAGGTACCTGTCTCTCCTCTCCAGGCGCCCCTTTGGGTCCTGCTGGCCCCGCGAGACCGCGGTCACCTTGCGGCCCCTGTAGACCCATACTTCCTGTTTCTCCCTACACAGAAAATGTAACGGATAATTGCATCAGAGAATACCGTGATGGTTTACAGAGATTTTTCGTCTTCACAGGATGAAGATGTGGTAAAACAAAGGTTTATAGAATAACCCACACAGTTTATCATTTCTCTGTTATTTATGTACCATTTTGGGATTTATGGTCCAGTAACAATGCAAGCCTTAGTCGTGGGGCTTTGCGGAATTGTCGTTCACAAACTGTATCCTGTCAACAACCCATTGTATTATACAGGCTATAAGTACAGCGTTATGCAGCAGTTATCTGATTCAGAATTTAACATAGGGAGTTATCTGATACAGACGTTAACATAGGGAGTTATCTGATACAGACGTTAACATAGGGAGTTATCTGATACAGACGTTAACATAAGGAGTTATCTGATACAGACGTTAACATAGGGAGGTATCTGATTCAGAATTTAACATAGGGAGTTATCTGATACAGACGTTAACATATGGAGTTATCTGATACAGACGTTAACATAGGGAGTTATCTGATACAGACGTTAACATAAGGAGTTATCTGATACAGACTTTAACATAGGGAGTTATCTGATACAGACGTTAACATAGGGAGTTATCTGATACAGACGTTAACATAGGGAGTTATCTGATACAGACGTTAACATAGGGAGTTATCTGATACAGACGTTAACATAGGGAGTTATCTGATACAGACTTTAACATAGGGAGTTATCTGATACAGACGTTAACATAGGGAGTTATCTGATACAGACGTTAACATAGGGAGTTATCTGATACAGACGTTAACATAGGGAGTTATCTGATACAGACTTTAACATAGGGAGTTATCTGATACAGACGTTAACATAGGGAGTTATCTGATACAGACGTTAACATAGGGAGTTATCTGATACAGACTTTAACATAGGGAGTTATCTGATTCAGAATTTAACATAGGGAGTTATCTGATACAGACGTTAACATAGGGAGTTATCTGATACAGACTTTAACATAGGGAGTTATCTGATACAGACGTTAACATAGGGAGTTATCTGATACAGACGTTAACATAGGGAGTTATCTGATACAGACGTTAACATAGGGAGTTATCTGATACAGACTTTAACATAGGGAGTTATCTGATTCAGAATTTAACATAGGGAGTTATCTGATACAGACGTTAACATAGGGAGTTATCTGATACAGACGTTAACATAGGGAGTTATCTGATACAGACTTTAATATAGGGAGTTATACGATACAGACTACACAGGGTAGAGATTACTGTATATAACAAAGAATAAAGCGAGATTCCCCACAAGTATTACAAATTATTCTGTAAGTTATGAATTTGTGCTACAGCTGGGACATTTAACGGATTAACGAAGATGATTTCTTTGTCATTCAAACCTGCTGAACAGGGACAAACAGCCTAAGGGACAAATGATATCAATGAGTTTTGTTTCTGTTCAGTTTATACAGAGACGGCTCTAGTTTATATTTATCTGAATTGTATACATTTAGTCGAAATCCCTAAAGTCTACTATACGCATTTTTCTCCCGGACGTGACTGATAAAATATGAACTGCAAAACGTCTTCCTTTACCTTTTGTCCCACAGCTCCGTCAAGTCCCGAGGGACCCTGTGGACCCGGAAGTCCTCTTACTCCAGGAACTCCTTTCGGTCCTTCAGCTCCTTCGGGTCCAATAGCGCCTTGCAAACCTGCAGGTCCCATCTCACCCTTTGGACCCGTGCCTCCAGTGTCGCCCTTAGAGCCCGCCGGCCCGGCTGGCCCCAAAGACCCCTGTGGACCTGCCGAGCCTTTTTCACCTTTAGCTCCCTGTAAGCCTACAGGCCCTGTATTTCCTTGTAGACCTTGTAGCCCGACGTCACCTGAAATCACAAAACACCAAAATAGAAAGTCATGCCATTCAAACACATGGACGAAACAGACATGGAGAGTGTGGATGTCATATCCATGTCTTAAAAGACATCACAGACGCAAACTGGGCGAAAAAACAAGCGTCGAATATGACTTGACATGGTAACAATTTGTTTTATATACTAGGACATTTTACTAAATAGGACATCAGCGTTTATGCTGATGATATCACATCATACGACTTAAGGAGCTACATACCACAAAATGCAAGAAGATTAAAGAGAAATATTCAGGCAGCTTCAACATTACAGTAGCAATGACTCTTAATACTGACCTTTCAGACCCTTTATTCCAGGTGTACCTGGGGGTCCAATATCACCTTTAACCCCGGGATCACCTTTCACTCCCTGGTCACCCTTTGGACCTGGAAAACATCATTTTTGCTATGAATTTGTAGTTGTCAGTAAATTGTCAACAAAAATGTCTCTAAAGAAAATACCACCAGGATATATGATTGAAAATAGTGTACAAAAGACACACAAGAGAAAATCATTTTTGATACCAGCTATTTTACAAAAGACATTTTAGATAATAACACTTTTCGATACAAAATACTGTAAAAAAAAGACACAGAAAAAAATCATGCACAAGTCAGTAATTCCACGTTCTCAAATGAGAGCAAGGTATGCAACAACGGAACCAACAGACAAACTAACGAGCATCAAACACGTCCAGCTTCATATCACACAACGGACCCAACAGTCATACTAACGAGCATCAAATACGTCCAGCTTCATATCACACAACGGACCCAACAGTCAAACTAACGAGCATCAAACACGTCCAGCTTCATATCACACAACGGACCCAACAGACAAACTAACGAGCATCAAATACGTCCAGCTTCATATCGTACAACGGAACTAACAGGCAAACTAACGAGCATCAAACACGACCAGCTTCATATCACACAACGGAACCAACAGACAAACTAACGAGCATCAAACACGTCCAGCTTCATATCACACAACGGAACCAACAGACAAACTAACGAGCATCAAATACATCTAGCTTCATATCGTACAACGGAACCAACAGGCAAACTAACGAGCATCAAACACGACCAGCTTCATATCGTACAACGGAACCAACAGACAAACTAACGAGCATCAAACACGACCAGCTTATTGTTAATTTCGTCGAAGATTGTTGTATCATTTCTGAGACGGAACTATTGTAAATCTATGTTATTAGACCACCTCCCAATCTGGTTTTTTTCACATCCATCTGCACCAATGTGGATCTGCCACAGCCGCCTCTAAGCCTTCAAGAATTTAGGCTCTTAACATCACTGGCTAGCCCCCAAAAATACGAAACAGATGTAAATTCATAAATTAGCTCTTCTGTATTTAATATTGAATTCGCGTTGAAGATTGTACAAAAGACACACAAGAAAAAATTGCCTTTCTCCTTTTGTTTGCCAAGTAACGGTCATAGTATGGTGTACATAAGTTTTTAGAATGAAAGTGACAGACACGACGATTTGACTTAGCCTTGCATTTACCAATCTTACCTGGGAGACATATTGTACTGTTCTGACAATACTTGTCGAAAATTGCGAGCTGTAAATATAAACAAAACACCAATTATCTAAATATCAGGCATCCTCTTTCATTTTAAATAACATTTTCTGATCCATATCACGCTATATCAGACGTATATGAAAACGTGTTACACAATTTTTTCATAACATTACTTCTCCGGAAAACTTATTATTGATTAATTAATTATACTGTGAGAGTGTTAATAACGTTCCTGGTAAGATGGCGGTGCAAAAGACAAATATGGGAACAAGAACAGGCAGTACAGTAATGTCAAATTATGAACTCAACTCCGTCATACAGCTGTTTCGCCCCTTCTACAGACAGATTTTAATTTTCGAAATTCTAGGAAGCGACTGTGAAAATCTAAATTGTTCGAAACGAATGTCAAGTTACAATGATAAGGTGCACGTACATCACAAATCAATTGTTTCCTGTTTTTTCACTATTGAGTGTATTCAAATTATTCATATGTCCGTTCTGAATCGTTTAACTGTTCGAATGAATTAAACGCGGCAAGCAGGTTACGTCAAACCTCGGGGACATAAAGTTAATCGGCAGTTTTAACGATCTGCAATCTCGAAAATAGTACAAAAGACTTGTGAATAAAAATAATTTTGTATTAAGAAGTTTCAGGTTAGTTTAACTATCATTTTTTCTTCTATTTAAGTTTTGTTTCTTTTGTTGTAAGGCGTCCTAGTTTTGATAGATATCACATTCGAACTTACAAACATCTGTTTCCAAACATTCCTTCACCTTCATTCTAGTTGTCTAGATTATTAAGATAAATAGATAATTAGCAAAAGAGAAAAATTACATACCTCCGAGTTAGCAAGTTGTTCAAAAATTTGACTCATCTCTCCGCCAGGTTGTGTCTGTCGTGCGGATCTAGACTTGCCTTGGAAATGAAGCCGGTGTTTCGTATATTCCGCGAAGGATCTAAGAACATCCAGTATGCTTTTCTGACTGTTTTCATCACATGTCGTCTTAACGAAGTTTTTCTGTCAAAGATTATAATTATTATCCGTTATTTCGAAATTCAATCATTCCTACCTTTGAAAAAATAGATATTAGATTTAAAGAGTAAACTCTTTGAATTCCTCGCTTGGACAAAATCAATGTCTTGTCAAGATATACGTTCAAAAAAAATTCATAAAACTTACAGAGAATATCTATTTAATGGTATCAATGGTTCTGATACGTCGTAATGTTGTATTTTCTATATCCTTTCTCACTGTCGTTATTATCGCCTGTTTCTTTAACTCGATACCAGGACAAACCTAAATCACAAATGGTGTCGATGCCTTAATGACTTTAACGAACGTTTAGGGCATTTTAAAATGTTAACTTAACGAAGTTTTTAAATGATTTTATTTGAAGGAAAAAGAAACATCACAGTAATAATAACAGTCCTACGTTACATGTATATATTTTTCTTCTAGATGTTCCCACAAACAAGGATTTATTGATAACAAGGCAGAATTATATATATAAGATATATTTTGATTTCAGATCTGTTCTATACCTGGGCATCAACAAAGTCTGATAACACTGGACTTGGTAAAACACTCCTCCTGGAAACTTTTCCATTGGGAGACGGATTCTTCATTACATCGATTAAGTCTTTAATGTGAATGACTTCATCTGGAGATTTCTGAAAAAGAAATTTAATCTAAAAACAAGATTCAGTATAAAACAACGAAATTGATTTCCTTTAAGTAGAATATACATTTGTAGTTCTATTACAACCCCAGAATCAGATTGTTGTAAGATCAGAATATGGGAGTTAACAGTTTCGCTAAAGGCCAAAATTTCCTATACAAACACAGACCATTTTAGCCCTGTACATACTCATGACAGAGGTTATTTTGTCTAAACTTTATGTATTCTATATCCATATGACCAAGGCTTAACAGTAGTAAAGTTTCATGGCCATTACCATCACTACTTTGGGAAATATTTTGTTTCCTTGTGTGATATGAAGCTGGACGTGTTTGATGCTCGTTAGTTGTCTGTTGGTTCTGTAGTGTGATATGAAGCTGGACGTGTTTGATGCTCGTAAGTATACCTGGTGGTTCTGTTGTGTGATATGAAGCTGGACGTGTTTGATGTTTGTTAGATTGTCTGTTAGTTCCGTTGTGTGATATGAAGCTGGACGTGTTTGATGCTTGTTAGTATTGTCTGTTGGTTCCGTTGTGTGATATGAAGCTGGACGTGTTTGATGCTCGTTAGTTTGTCTGTTGGGTCCGTTGTGTGATATGAAGCTGGACGTGTTTGATGCTCGTTAGTTTGTCTGTTGGTTCCGTTGTGTGATATGAAGCTGGACGTGTTTGATGCTCGTTAGTTTGTCTGTTGGGTCCGTTGTGTGATATGAAGCTGGACGTGTTTGATGCTCGTTAGTTTGCCTGTTGGGTCCGTTGTGCGATATGAAGCTGGACGTGTTTGATGCTCGTTAGTTTGCCTGTTGGTTCCGTTGTGTGATATGAAGCTGGACGTGCCTGATGCTCGTTAAGTTGTCTGTTGGTTCCGTTGTATGATATGAAGCTGGTCGTATTTGATGCTCGTTAGTTTGTCTGTTGGTTCCGTTGTGTGATATGAAGCTGGACGTATTTGATGCTCGTTAGTTTGTCTGTTGGTTCCGTTGAGTGATATGAAGCTGGACGTATTTGATGCTCGTTAGTTTGTCTGTTGGGTCCGTTGTGTGATATGAAGCTGGATGTATTTGATGCTCGTTAGTTTGTCTGTTGGTTCCGTTGTGTGATATGAAGCTGGACGTATTTGATGCTCGTTAGTTTGTCTGTTGGGTCCGTTGTGTGATATGAAGCTGGACGTGTTTGATGCTTGTTAGTTTGTCTGTTGGTTCCGTTGTTGTATACCTAGTTCTCATCTGAGAACGTGACACTACTTACTTGGATGGAACAAGGTTTACGGTGTCGTCGATGAAGCAGAAGACGCTTACTCTTCCAGAACCTATGGACTAATGGATTTGTCATGAGTCTTAATGTAAATCTTTTATTTTGTTAATTTTGAAGTTGAAGTCGATTTTGTTGACATGTTGGTATCTTTTCTGTCCGTAATGTAGACAGTGATATGTAGGTTATCAAGGTTATCATTCTCCCACACATAACACTTCCTTTCACCAACAGGTGTCCAGCACTTACATCGTGACTTACGAGACGAACTACGAAATAACAACAACATCGAAGAAAAGAGAGTTGTAAGACGAATATCAGTTTATTATAGATGTACAAGTAGCAGTTGTTGTGTTGTTTTCTGTCAGTAAAAACTGACGAGTGAGTCAGTATAAAATTTGGATGTAGCCTGCTCGTAATACATCAATTTCATGACGAAAACCAGATTTAAGGATACACGTGAATATTATTAAAATAATTCTTTTCATATTTTGAAACCAATTCCCAAACATTTCTATTTCAAAGCATAATGTCTCGGAATATTCAGAATGTTGTTAATTATAAGATTTTCTACGATATCTTATGTTTTCAAACTTTACATTCTACTTTTATATTTTAATGGCGATTGGCGACAGTCAAATCAAATTAAAAACTGCAGTCTGAGATTATGTTTGCTTACCATTCCAGTATTATTATAATATGTTTTGATAAAAAGAAATTCGCTGGAAATAAAGATAGCCTTGAAAATAAACAAGAATTGTTAATATTAACGAAAACATTAAGAGAAATAAACCAAAATGAATATTTCTCACCACAGATATTCTGACTGCTGTACCGGTAAAAGAAGTGGAGCAATGTACTGTTTTAGATTACTTTCTGCCATTTTTAAAAAAAACCCACCAGAACAACAGTTGACGTTTAGAAGGTTTTGACGTCTGATTTGTAAACAACCTTAATCCTGTAAACTTAATTAATTTGACGTCATGAAATTAATCATCTTTAAATAGACAACATATAAAAACTCTTTTCTGATCGTACTCACATACTACGTTAAATCCGATAACTACAAAACCTTTACGTTTACAGGCGATTGTATACAATATTACAGGCTATAGGAAGCACAGGGTTAGATACTGATATAGACGGGTCATCCATGGACTTCCTTAGGTTTTTGTTATTTTGATTATATCAACAGTGTAAAAGGATATGATACTTCCCCGGTTTTAATTCAAACAACTCGTCATTATAGGAATTTCATTTATATTTCACGTGTCGTTAAAAACGGAAAAACGGTTAATCTTTCGGAACGATTTTTTTACTTAATTACGGTATAATTTAGCTTTAGTCCGCACTACCTCGCCACGAATTTGATTTGAAATCCACTGACAAAAAAACAAATGGAAAATACTAACATGTCAACATAATCATAATCCAAACTCGAACTCAATAAAACTAGGGCAAAACATGACCAAAAGAAAGATTTACACGAAGACTCCAGAAAAAGTACAAAGAGAATAAGACCAGATGTTCTGGAAGAGAAAGCGTCTTCTGTTCATCAACGACATCCGCGATGTAAACTTTGGCCAATCAGGTACATGTAAGTAATGTCACGTTCTCAAATGGATAACAAGGTATACAACAACGGAACCAACAGGTAAACTGACGAGCTTCAAACACATCCAGCTTCATATCACACAAGGATGTTTTTATTATATTAGTCTACTGATAATCATACATCATCAAATCTTAGATCAAGATATTTGTTAAAAATCAAATCGATACATTATTGTGATATATGTATGTAAAAGCTTCGAAATTAGATTTTTTTTTAAATCAACACTTTGTATATGACTCATTAAATTAAATATTTTTTTACCATAACTTAGATTCGTTTTCAATGGTGAAAACGCATTTCCTTCAAAAGGAATCTTAATATTTTAACATTTTCTATTTTAACATAAATGAACCGTTAACACAGTCTAATATTGTAAATATATTGTACCAGTATTAGACTATAACAATACCTCCACGTTCAGGAAAAGATCCTCTAGTTTGTTTATCCTATCGATCTGATAGATGGACAGAGCGATGAAAGCTGCGAGGTGAGTGAGGAAGATACAGAAAATGGCGATGAAGACGGTGTGAGAATTTCCGTCTTTCATTTTTTTTAGTGGTTGGTGTGACGCCCTTGGACACGTTCCCGGCCTCTACATGTGTAATCTGTACATTGTCTATGAATGGAATACCGCACTACTGACCTCAGACTACCGTAAATACACTAAACGAAACACCAACGTTACGTCACATATCACCTTCTTAAATCTGCAATAAAACTAGTAAAACTTTAACATCATAAAGTTATTGTCGCAGTATTCATACTATATTCCCAGTTGTGTAAATAAGACGCACGAGCGAATAGCACATTTCGGTTCAAAGGTCGTAACCCCCACGACCCCGCCAAATAGTACATTTTAATACAAAGTACAGTACAAAAACAAAAGACACAGAAGGTAATAGAGGGGGAACTGGTGAAAAGAAGAGGATGCCAAAATTTGAAGCTTGGGGAATTTTTACCTTTTACTATGTACAATTATTAACGTAATGCTCCTCTCTCTCATCACCGACTGTATCCAAAGCTGCAATACCCTTTCAATGTATTATCAGTTTCACAGAAATATAGATAACATATGGACAATCAAATTTTATTCGGAAATAGCATTTCTGAATCCATATTTGACAGTGGAAGGTGCACCTACGTTCTAGTCTTCAAGAGTTACTTCCCTTCGTTTACCTGGTCGATCGATAATGGTGTACCCAGCGCCTTTATGTTAATTGTAACTCTTCTTTGCAGAAGGTGCAATACTGAATGGTGGATCAAAGGGGAAAATATGAACGTTTAGAGAATTCTTCATCAAGTTAAATAATTATTCTTATTGCTGTCTGAACAGAACGCACTCGCAAGGTAAGA